AGTTGGACTTGATGATCCTTGTGGGTCCCTTCCAACTCACAACATCCTATGATTCTATGATCCCTGCCCCACCATTAGCCATAGGGAAGCAGGAAGGGGATGGATGCACCCAGCATCCTCTGGATTCCCCATCTCCCCAATGGGTTGCCCAGTTCCCATCAAGCCCATCTGCCCCCATGGCAAGTGCACTCACAGTGGCAGCCCATCCTGCACGGCATAGAGGCCATGGAAGCTCTGCCGGTCAATCAGCCCGTCCATGCTGTTATAGTTGATCTTCAGGAGGGACTCCAAGGAGCTGGGGAGTGCGAGGCAGCCCGGCAGGGAGGGCTGGCTTTGCCACCCCGGGGAAGGGCCAGAGGAGCAGGGAAGCACTGGGTAACACTCACAGGCTGAACGGGTCCTGCACAGCCATGTCCTTGTGGTCAGCTGAGTAGGTGGGAGGGTCGTAGAGTGGGAAGTCCACCTGCAGAGCATGTGGCCATGTCACGTCCCCCTTGTGTCCCTGCTCTGGTGACAGGCAGGGACTGGGACTCACAGGGACAATTTCTGCCCCAGTCCCCTCCCTCTTCCCAGCTCGTGGCATCATTCCCCAAGGCACACAGGGCTCCAGGCCCTGCTTGGCATCTTGGTGGAGGGTTGGTCGTTCATGACTCCGTGGAACCCAATGCCAGATCCTGTCCCTGCTCCTGAGTCAGCCCTGATTCAGGAAATGCAGAGGTGGGTGTTTGTCCCCTCCATCTCCGAACTGAGCATCCCCAGGTGTCCCTAGCACTGCAGATCCCAGCAGGAACAATGCCCGTTCACCTCTCCTTGTCCCTGGGTGGGCATTGGGGCAGCAGCTCCAGAAAGCCACTTGTCCCAGGGCTGGGAAAAACAGGAGCTCCCAAGTGTGACATGAGTGTGAAGATGGATCTGCCCCTCTTCCCACCACCACTGGGATCTGCCCCATTGCCAGCCCTGCTTCCCATGGTCACAGGTCCTACCTCCCAGGGCACCTTCTCATCTGGCACAGGGAAGCGGAGGGTGTGAGAACCTGAGTACAGGAGGTTTCGGGCAAGCACATGGTACGGGGACTGGCTCTCCTCGGGTTTCCTCTCCAGGTCAACCTCCTTCATCTCTGACGCTTTGCTGGAGCCTGCAAGGAAAACACAAACAGCGAGGACCCAGCAAAGCAGGGTGCTGAGCCTGGTGCTGGGGACCATGGCTGGCTGGGTGTCTCCAGGGAAATTCTGATGTCCCCTGGGGCCTGGACCCTGGCATCCCTCCCAGCTGCAGTGGAAAGCCTCAGTCATGGCCTCCAGGGAGGGCTCTGGAGTGGAGGGTGGGAGTGGCTGCAAGAGGGGCTTGATGGCCTCACAGAGCTCCCAAACTTCCCTGGGCCACGGGGCTCTGCCTTGCTGCTTAACAGAGGGGTGCAAGGGGCTGCTCAGCCCTGGTCTGCAGCCCCACGGGTGCCAGCATGGGGCTATGGGTTTCCCCAGTGCTGCTGAGGTGGAGATGGACTCTGCTTACCCACTGGTGGCATGTCCTCGCCTGAGCTGAAGCCATTGTCCTGCAGCGCCTGCATTATCCACCTCAGGGCCTGGGCACTCTGGTTCACCTGTGTGGGACAGGAGAAGGTCAGCTGAAGTGTTGAAGGCCAGGTTGGATGAGGCTTTGAGCAACCTGATCTAGTGGAAGGTGTCCCTGACGACGGCAGGGGGGTTGGAACTGGATGAGCTTTAAGGTCCCTTCCAACCCAAAACATTTGATGATTCAATGATTCCTGGACCCCAGCTGTCCCCAAGCTCGCTTGCTCAAGCACAGCGGGACACAGACCTCGCAGGAGGCACTGCTGCCCCTGGCTCCTGGCTGCTTATCCCAGGGAAGCAGCCATCCTTGCTGTGTCCTGATGCTCTGCTTGGAAAACCATCTCCAAAGAAACATTTTTGCAAAGGAAGTGGAAATGGAAGTGATGCCAGGGGCCAGACCAGCTCCCCACTGCCTGTGCAGGGTGTGGAACAGCTTCAGGGGGAGGGGATGCAGAGTCCTCTTGGGCCAAGCAGAAGAGCTGGGTGGGATCTAACTGTTTGGGTGACCAGTGGAGTCAGGGGCTCGTCCCACCACTTCCCACCTTCATCCTGTTCACTTTGGAGTCAAAAGGGCATTCTCCATAAACCTTTTCGCCTCGGATGCTATCGTTTTGGTGAGGAAACTCAAACTGTTTGAAGGAGGATTGATTCAGAGGGGCTTTCTCCTGTGCTCTGATTCAGTCGACTCGGCCCCTGGAAAACCCCACCTTTCTTAAGCAGTTGCTCAGCTTTTGCCTCACCTGGTCTTCCAGAAAGACCAGTCTCTGCTCCACCAGCCCTGTCCTCTTTACCCGGTCCAAGTCCAGCAGCTCTGCCAATACGTCAACCCTGGAGGGACAGCACAGAGAGGAACCCCCTCAGCAGCCACCTCTGCACTAATCCCAACTCTTCCCTGCCCAGGACACTGGAGGACGGAAGGATGTCCCTGTCTCAGGAGTGCTGGTACCTCTGTGCAATGTCTTGTATCTTCTGCTCCATGTTCTGCTTCTCCTGGCACTGCTGGTTCTGCAGGTAGTTCTCCTTCAGGTACATCTCCCAAGAGAGGAGGGCAGCTTCTTCGTTCTTCTCCAGCTTCTCTTCTGCCACAGGAAGAGGACAGCACTGCTGTCAGATCTCTTGGCATCCCAAACCTTGGTACCACCTTCCAGATGCCAAGTTTGTGCCTCAGCGCAAGGTGCGATGGCCCAGGGAGGGGGGAAAGGGCAGGAGGGAAGCTGCTGGTCCTCACTGAGCTGTTTGTGGCGTGTGGCTGGCCTGCGGAGCAAGCCTCGCTGGACCAGGATCTGCAGGTGGTTGAGGAGGATGAAGGGTGGAGGTGCGGGTGGGCGGCCGTGGTACTCCTCAATCAAGTCATGCCGCTGGAACTTCCAGATCTGGTCTGTGTGCTCCTGAACCTGCTGGAAGGTGTAGCTGGGGAAGAGCCCAGGTGTCAGCCATGCCATGCAGATAAGGGGGCACATCGTGTCTGTATGGTGCCCCAGCTCCCACCCAGCTCCCTGATCAGCCCTGTCTTGCACCCACTACTTCCACCATGTCTATAACCCCTCAAAGCACCCTCGTGCACTGGTCAGCATGTGCCCCAGGACCATCCTGGCACTTTCTCAGTGTGCAGTGCCTTGGCCATGGCCAAGCTTGCAAGCAAAGCCAGCTTGATTCACTTTCAGGACCATGGGGCCAGGTCAAACTCACTTGAACATGGCAATAAGGAGATTGAGAAGGAGGATGTTGGTGAAGAGCAGGTACAGGCACAGTAAGATGACTGTCAGCCACTCCGGGAAGATGGGTTTCTTGTTGTCCTCATTTGTCTCTGGGCACTTGGGCTTGTAGGGGTCAGTCCCATTGGGGCTGCACTGGTCAATGTTGAAGTTGACACCTGCAAGAGAATACAGCATGACTCCGCTGCAGCCAAACCTCGTAGTGTCTCAGGAAGCACATTGTGCTCTCTGAAACCAGCCAGAATCAAAGGAGCTTAGCATTGGTCAGGTATTTGACCTCGATCTGCACCATCCTAGGTGCTCTGCTCACTGCCACCAGTGAGCTATCTTGACTTTGCAGCTATCTTGACTGCTTGGGCAGGTGCAGGCCCTGGGTTTGCATTGGTGGCAACACTCTCAATATGCTGGAGCAGGGCTCCATTCCTATGCTCTGTCATTGCTTGATCCTGACCTGACACTGTGCTTGGAGAGGAGCCCTGTGCAGGACTTCCATGGGCCACCACGACAGAAGCCAGGCAGACTGGTTCCCCTCACCCTGCTCAGGCCACGTTCTGTCACAGCCCAGTGTACTTTACCATCGATGTAGGAAGGAATCTGCCCAAAGATGGTCAGGTAGGAGTGGTAGACCACACCACGGAAAAGCCACTCCACACGTTCCTCATTGTGGATCAGGATGGCCTGCTTGGCAACCCCAAAGGACACCACCCACACTGCTAGCAGGAAGAGGAAGAAGAAGACATCCTTCATCTGCCAAGACAGAGGGGAAGCAAAATGGTGTCCTGGGGCAAACCCCACTCCAGGCCAGGGTAACATGGGTGGCACATCCATCCCATGTAGGCATCCATGTAGCTGGTCACCCTGGCAGGATGGAGGGGAGCTCTCACCATACGCTTCACAATGATGATCTTGGGCCCCAGTGTTTTACTGACTGTGAAAATGTGCATCAGCCGCAGGCAGAAAATTATGAAAGCCAGTGACAGTATGATACGCCCAGGGTATAATGTCGATGGGATCAGCCTGGGCACAGAAGAGAGGAGAGGAAACATCTCAGAGCCACCAGTGTGGGGTTTTTTCTGATCTCACAACATTATATTTCTGCAATATCAGTGAGCTTCCCCAGAGTGCTGGGTGAGAGTTGCAGCATGAAAAACATCTCTCCTAAAAGCAGAGGCAAATTGGTCAGAATTAACCAGATGACCACAAAAATCTTCATTGGCCTTTGGAAGAAGAAATTGCAATTAAAAAACCTGCACAGTTCTCACACTAATTTTGTAGCCTGCAGCTGTGGCTCTGAAACTCACCTGCAAGTCAGCCCTGTGATAAAGACTAGGATGGCACAGATGTCCAACTTATTCCAGAAGTCCTTGAAGTACAAGGAAGCCATTTTCACAACCCCAAACCCGTCTGGGTCATACAAGAGCTGTTGGGAAGAGAAGAGGGGTCAGTGTTTCAGTGACAGCCTGGTAGGATACTCATGTGCCTCGTAGAGGGGAGGGACCACATAGACCTGTTGGACACCACTGGACCCTCTTGCTTACCTGAAGGTAACCTGCACCTACAGGGTTTTCTATAGGGGCATGGAAGGAGCATGGGGATATACCTGAGGCATGGAGCTCTTTGGTGAAGAAAGGCACTGAGATGTTGAAGCAAAAGCTGAAAAAAATCGTATGTCAAGCAAAGCCTGGAAATGCTTCTGGGAATAAATGCCCAAGGAAGAAGGTGGTCCTTCCATCTCTTAGTGTTTTCAGCTCAAAGACTGCAAAACTTGCAGTCTTTCTGCAAGTACCCAGGGCCAGGACAGATACAGCCAAGGAGATTCTCCAGCCTCAGGGATGGGGGGATCTGACGGTCCCTTGTGCTGGGACCTCTCCAGAAAGATGATGACATGAGAAGCAGCATGGGAATTTGAACTACACAGGACCTTTCAGGAGCACCGAAAGGGGTGTCTCTCCCTCCTCTCACCTCCTCCCAGCCCCTGCTCCACCTGCCCCATACCTGTCGGGTCTCCTCGCACACCAGCGAGAAGAGCCAGAAGTAGATAAGGTACTCCCGCCAGGATGGCAATGGCTGGAAGTCAACCATCAGGACGTAGGCAAAGAGCAGGAGGAAGGTGAAGTAAGAAAGGATGTTCATGTGGAAGATGACGACAGGTGCTGTGAAGAAGGCTCGGAGGCGTGTCAGGCAGCCCATGGGCTGCAGCCTCTTCTCCCTGCAGGGAGCAGGGGTGGAAGTAGAGCTCAGCTGCCCAGGGAGATGCCATGGCAGCTTCTCCCACCCAGCTGTACACATGCCCCAGCTGCAAGGAGTACCTGAAGGTGATGAAGCTGGTGTAGAGAAGCGGGAAGAACAGCATGCACACAATCACTCGCCAAAGCCCGTTGTCCACACACATCTTCCCCCACCAGACTTTGGTGAGAAAGGCCTGTGAGGAGGGAGGAGGAGCACTGGTTCCAGAAGCCCCTCTCATCAGAGTGGGGCTGCAGGGCAGAGCCTCACTGCTGCCAACAAGGAACCCTGGCTCTGTGGCAGAGGACACTTGGACACTTCCCCTCCAAGCACCATGGCTGGGGACCCACCTGGACACCCCCATGGGACACAAAATTCATGTTCTTGGCCTCCAATGACAACTGTAGACAGGTTGTCTTCCCCCAGGCCTCAGAGACACGGGTGAGAAGCTTCTGGGCTCTCTCTTCGTCCTTGCGGTAGCAGTCTGTGAACACGCCTGGCCAGGCAGGGACCAGGAAGACAAGTCTGAGCTCCAGGGCCAGCTTGGTGCCCAGCAAGGCACCCACAGAGTCACCCTTTGCAGCAGGATCTGGACATTGCACCAAGCACTGGCACTCTCTGAGCTCTCACCACCACCTAGGCACAGCCCTTACAGCATCACGACCTGACCGTGACAAGGGGACCCCCTGTTTGGCACCACCCACCCCACCCATCACCCCCAGACACCTCATGGGAGCAGTTCTGGGTTGCTGGTCCCCTCCTGCTCACCAATCGCCTTGTGCTCGTACTGCTCAGCCAGGGCCAGCATGTCATCAGTGGTGTCGGTATCTTCCTCTTCCTTGGCAAGCTCCTTCAGGATTTTGCTGCAGGCCAGCGCGGCTGCCATGCAGTCCTGGCTCTGGAGCAGAAGAGGCCAGAGAGAACATGGGGTTCTGCACCCCATCCTGCAAGCCCCATCAGTCCTGCCAAGCCCTCCAAGGCTTCCAGATTGCTGTTCAGGATGGACAGCTTGCCTTGAGAAGGGCAACCCACTGCCACAGGGAATCCAGGGACACCTCTGCTCTCCTCATGGGAAGCCTCAGGTGATGGGATAATGTGACTTCATGGCTCTG